GTGGCATTTTCCTTTTATATGGGATTTGATATCTTTTAACAAACCCTCCTAATTTAATTTTTTTGGATAAATCAGTGGGGATGACGAACCCCTACCCATTTTTTTAGTTTTTATTAATACTATAATAAAGGTTATATGTGGACAGTTACAAATACAAGCACTACACAACCCTTTTGAGGGGGACGTTGGCAAGGTCCTGCAAAATGAAAGGAATTCCAAAATCAGGGGGATGGGCCCGCCATACAATGGCTTGAGCCATAGATGCCGCACTCTTTGCCAAACAATCAGCGGCCATGTTCGCCTCCTGGAAGGCGTGTGATATCTTCCAATGGTGATCAGTGAAGGAGAAGGGATTTGTCTTGCAATTGGACAACAAGGTGCGCAGCCTCCAAGGGGCCAAGCTATGGGGGTGAGCTCCACTAACAATTTAGAGTCGCTCTCAATGATGAGTGGGCGGCAGTCCAACTCCTGTGCAAGAGAGATGCCCCAATCCAAAGCATGAAATTCTGCTGCATTGTTAGATGAGGGGCCAAGAGGGGTGGAAAACACTGCTACAAAACCTTATGTGTCATTTCTAATGATCCCCCCACAACCCCTAGTGCCCAGATTACCAAGGGACGAACCATCGATGTTGAGCATGAAGTGGCCCATGGGAGGGAAGGACCATGCAATCTAGATCGATGTGGAAGGGGGTTCAGTATGCCACTGAAGCCTGAGGTTCGTGGAGATGTGGCATTTTGATGGGTGAAAAGATCATCCATTCCCTTCTGCAAGCTTGCTGACAAAGTGGGTGATGCGCCCCAGTAGTTGCTCCATCAAATACCTTCGACCGTTGTGGATACGTGCATTGCGCTCTGCCTATATGAACTAGACAGTAGTGGATAAGGTGGAAAGACATAAATTGTTCATCCCTTTGGATTTGAACGAAATTTGAGTCATTTTGTCATCATCATGGTCGGGGTTTTGCTCGAGTGATATACTTTTTCGAACGTCCAGAGAATGGATAGCTATAATACCTTGAAGACACACACTGCATAATAATATGGTTAGTGGATTCCTCCTCTTGGAGGCAAAATGGGCATCTGGTAACCAAAGGAAGCCCCTTAGATTGGAGCAAGGCCATGGTAGGGAGTCGAGAGTGCAACGCAAGCCAGGAAAACCACTTCTCTCTAGGATGGGATGGGGTTTTCCAGAGGACTTTTTAAGGCTGGCAGAGTCAGGGCACTTTGCCTGATGTGATCCCAAGCACTAGCCACTGAAAACTTACCATGAGCTAAGTGTATCCATACCAACTAATCCTGAGAGGGATGGAGCAGTAATACATGAGAGTAAACCTCCTCCCAAACACAAATGAGAGGGACCACCTTTGGGGTGTGCCTTGGATATAATCTAAAGCCTTGGGCTTAGCCAGGTTGTCAAGTCTCTTGTGAACCTCCACACCGTACTTCTCCCATAAAGAGCTCTCTGATAGCCATGGGTCAGCCCGGAAGTCAACCAACTGACCATCTCCAACTATCTATCACACATTACCTTGCAGTCTTTTCAATCCCAAGGCCACACCCTTCCAAACATGAGAGTAGCTTTTAGGTTGGGCAAACCAGATCGATGAATGGCAGAAGTATTGGTGCTTGAAGAATTCTCCAAGCTAGCTTCATCATGTCCGCCATGTTAAAATCGTGAGTCTGACGAATCCCAAGGCCCCCTTCATCAGTTTTCCGACATATAATCTCCCAGGTCACCAAGTGTAAGCCCCTATTTTTGTCATCCCTACCCACAAGAAATTACTTTGGAGTCTCTCGATCATATTGCAAGTGTGGCAGGGGAGGTAGAAAGAGAACAACCAATAAATGGAGAGGCAGAAAGAATTGATTTCAACTATTGAAGCAGGCCTGTGAAGGAAAAGGATAGGTTTGCCAAGAGCCTATTTGACCAATGGTTTTTCCAATAAGACTATGGCAGTGTAGATGTCTTAGAGTGCCATGGAAGAGAGGGAGGCCAAGATACCTGGCAGGAAGGTCACCTAGTTCGAACTAAAGTACATGAAGCACTTGTGCTCTCAAATTGGACCGAACTTCAAAGAACATAGCCTTGCTCTTATTGCTGTTTAATTTCTGACCAGTCACCCCACAGAAGTTATCAATGATCTGTTCAATGACAATAGCCACTGGGACTGATGCCTCGCAAAAGATAAGGGCATCGTCTGCATAAAGGGGGTGATTGACCACATAGTTACATCCTGAAAGAAAAATAGGGGGAGGGAGTTATTAGCAGTGCTAGCCTCAATCATTCTACTAAGATAGTCCGAAGGAAAAGATATGGGGATAGTGGGTGTCCTTGTCTGAGGCCTCTCTTGCTTTTAAAATAACCCACTAGGGATCCATTGTGCAGGATAGAGAATGAGGATTTGGTCCGGTTGCGTTTTTGTGGCACAAGGAAATGAACTCGTTTGCCATGAGGATGTTATCAGTGATCAACCTTCCACTAAGGAATGCTGCCTGGAATGGGTGAATATAGTCGTCAAGTACCCTCCTCAGGCTATTTTCCACAACCTTGCTTATGATTTTATAAAAATACATTACATAGGTCAATAGGTCTAAAATCCTTCATAGTTGTGGGGCAGGTGACCTTGGGAATCAAACAGACGAAGGTCAAATTTACCTCCTTGAGGAACTTGCCTTTAACCAAAAAGTCTTTAAGTGCACTTAAGAGATCAGCCTTGACAACCTCCCAACTGAACTTGTAAAATTCTACCCCAAACCATCTGATCTTGGAGCGCTCTCTGATTTCATGTCCCATATACACTCTCTAATTTCCTCTAAGGAGATGTCCTTTGTTAAGGCCTCACATTGCAGTTGTGTGAGTCGCATATCTGGAAGGAATAACCGACGGTCCCATAAGGATAGCCTCCTGTGTTTCAGGGGCTAAGAGCTCCTCAAAGTAAGAGATCATATGACTTTCAATGGCTTTGGGGTCTAAAATTTGAGTGCCATTGGAATCCTTAAGGAAAGCAATTTTGCCATGCCGCCTTCTAACAACAATGAACATATGGAAGAATTTTGTGTTAGAGTCCCCCTCTTTGAGCCAAATTTTTTGTGATTTTTGTCTCTACATACATTCTTCTTGTACTAGGTACTGCTTCAACTGGGATGTAAGTTGGGCTTCTTCTATGTTAAGAGCAATGTCATTGGGGTTTGGGTTGATCATATCATGCAGAGCCGATAGTCTATCTCTGGTGTCTCTCTTATCTTTATGATGACTATGCCAAATGACATTTTGTTCCATCTAGAGATATCTCCACGCAATCTCTTGAGTTTAGCTACAAATCAATACATTGGAGTGCCCCCCACCTTCCCGTGCCACGATTGCTTGATGAGATTCATGAAGTCTGATGCATCATGCCATATGGTAAAATATCGAAAAAGGTTTGAGGCCTGTTGGTGGGGTGGGGGAGGGGGGGATCAGTAAAGGGGAGTGATATGAGGTAGCTCTAAGTAGGAGTTCAACTCGGACTTCTGGCATAGATAACAACCACTCTGTATTAACCAATGCTCTATCAAATCGCTCTTGAATGAACCGAGTCTCATAACTATTATTCAACCATGAGAACCAGCCCTCGATGACCCCAAGTCAACATGGGCACAGTCCATGAGCATCTTAGCAAAACTCGCAGAGTCAGAACTAATCTCATTGCGACCACCACACTTCTCGCTCCGATCAAGAATAGAATTAAAGTCCCCAGTTAAAAGCCACGCCTTCAATATACTGAGTTTGATGTATCTTAGGCGGTCCCACAAAACCTTCCCTTCTAACATTGAGTTTCTGCCACACACCTGTAATGATAAAGGAAATGCCTATGCTAGGACAAGAAACTTCTGCAGTAATAGCTTGATGAGAAGTCTAGAATTGTGTAAATATTTGGGTTCCATAATAATTCTAGACTTCTCATCTAACTCATTGAACACAAAAGAATTCTAAAAAACAAGCTTTTTAATCTATCTACTAGCTGATGCACTTGCATTTTGGTTCCCAATAGAAAACATAGTCCAACATCATAGTTTGAAATAATATTTCGGATATCTGATGTTCGACCAAAACAAACCCTCCTACCTCACATGTTGAAGCTTATCCTCTCGTAACAATCCAATAGGATTTGTTTGTGGGTTTTTTTATTTTATTTTCGTTGGTTCTTTTAATTTATTTTTAAAAGAGGATGACCCTTTTATAATAACTTTGTTATTTTTTAAAAGAGAACAAATTATTTTAATCTTGTAAAGAGATTTTTAATCTTGTAAAGAGATCCTTGAGGTAGATTTCTTACAAATCCTGGAAATATACTCTCTCATTCCTTTAATTTTATTTTTAGTTTTCTAATTTATTAGCTTTGTCCCTCTTCAAATTAACCTCACCCATGGACAGCTACACTTTAGATTTAATTTTGGCCACGACAAGAAACTGTGCTATTTACAGGACTTTGTCAACAAGAAAGGCTCCTTAATCAATTGTGCTTTCAATTACAATAAAACTATAAAAATTTCACTCTCGAAGAGCTTCCACGATGAATATCAAACAGTAAAAACTTGTGGAATCTCTCTCTCTCTCTCTCTCTCTCTCTCTCTCTCTACCAATTTTCGTCTTTATAGATTATACATCTTTCCATTTGGAAAAAATCCTAAGGTGACAATGAATAACAGTAGCGCACAAACACCACATTTCAGAAACCCCACCAATCTCTCTCCCTCTCCCTCTCCCTCTCAACAAAATAATAATAATAATAATAATAACTCCTATCACAGAAGGGCAGAGGGGTACAGGAGGTCAGAATTAGAGGAAATAGAGAAAGAAACACAGAATGGTCGACTTGCTCAGCTAAATACAAAACAGAGAAACTTAGTGAGAAAGAACACAAACAGCGACTCTTTTTGGATTTTTGTTTTAATAAAGAAAATTGAACACAAATAGCACAGGGGTGGCACAAACACAAAGAAACTTAGAGAGAGAGAGAACATAAACAGTGACTCTTTTTTAATGCTGCTTCTACTTTGCAGAATGTACATATTCGACTTGAGAAAACTCATAATATGACTATATAACAGCATAACGTGCCAACACTCTGTCAGATCCTCTCTCTCTCTCTCTCTCTCCCTTCCCCCCCCCCCCCCTTACTATGACAATACAAGAGGAAGACACATTTTAAAACCCTCACCTCTCTCCCTTGGTCTCTCTCTAATTGTTTGCTGGATTTCCTTCATCCTCCCTCCCAGTTGTTTCAGCATTGGCAGGTGCCTTTTTGGTGAGGGACTTAGGGATGTCGAGGTCATCTTGCAAGCACCGCTGTTGTGGGTGAGAGAGCAAGACACACATGTGGCGGAAGAGGACACGAGCAAGGCCCACCCCACTCTCCACAATGTACCCTTCGTACTCACTCACACGCTCCAATGCATCCACTAAAGCATCATAGACCTTTTGTGGGCAGTTATCACGGCTTGGCTTCTCATGAAGATACATGGCATCAAATGTAAAAAGTTTCTGATTTTCAGACCAGTGGAACTCTGGTACCACTGATGACCTACAGTATATCAAGATCTACACACACGCACAGAGAGAGAGAGAGAGATCATTAGAGCATTACAACAGAGGGTATATACACCACAAGCCAGTGTAGGATACACACACACGCACAGTCAAAATCATCTAAGGAAAGTATTGATTGGAAGGAAAGGTATCAACTAACATGATGAAGTATGGTATGTGCTACTCCGAAAGGGAATCCAACATTCCTTTCTATTGAGGAAGAGGAAGTTAACCATATTGAGGCCCACCACGGCATTCACCTGGGTACAGTTAATCTCCACCTTCCAATATTGGAAGAGATAGTGGATACCCCTTTAGCATACCAACTAACAAAACATTTTTCTGATAAATATAACACGATCCATGGGAACATCATACATGTGCCCAAATGGAATTATGAAGGGCTTCCGGTGTTGGCATCGCATTATGAGTTTGCTATGCATAAAATGCCTTAAAACTTAAAAACCCTACACCAAAAATGAAATGGAAGTAAGACAAAATGTCCCATAAACTCTTAAAGAACTATTCTCAAGTATCAACTTACCACGTGCATAGACTCGATAAGGTCCAAAATTATTATTAATTCCATAGAAACTGACTGTTAATGAAGTGTAGCCCAGACAAGTTGACTGAGTTTCAAGTTTATTGTTCTGAGTTTTCAAACCACATTGATGAAGTTTGTAAATTCAATTTAAATCCTACCATATAAGTGAATCAGAAATATTTTCAAGTTCCATATATGTAAGCAAAGGAGGTACCGTTTTTTTTTGGGTGAGCAAATGAGGTCCAAATCAAGTTCTTAGTTTTAAATTAGCATGGGTCATTTGAACAGGATGTTTTACAGGGTATTGTAGCATGGAACCATGTGTTCTTCCTAGCGTGATAGAACATGGAACTTAGTCAATTCCATGTGTCATGCATGCTTTCTTCAATCATCATGAAAGGACAAGAACACAATGCAACCTAATGTCTCAAATACAGGACTCAAGAACAAAAGACGTAAAAAAGAAAAAGATGAACAGACAAGAACATCAGTGGTAGCCCTAATGTCTCAAAAACAAAATACAAAGACAGGTAAGAGTTGTGAAACAATGTTATTTTTGAGCCCACAATCCAATCTGATTCTTATGACAATTGCATGACAACTATATTACCCTACACAATTATTATGCATATCCAATCTAGTGAAGTTGATGGATCCAAGTGATGACCAGTTTGTCTATTGAAGCTGAAATAGCAGTTTTATGAGAACTGAAGCTGACATAACAATGAGATATACATGCATAAAACAAGGATTTATCCTCATGCAGAAACCACAATAGGCACTGAGTTGTCATGGGACTAACCAATTCAATCAAACACATTCTTTTTTTTGGCTAACCATATTCAATAAAAAATGTTCAACAAGTAATTTGCCCACCATTGATATTAAAAAAAAGAAGTTCCAAAAGAACCAAAAAATATGTTTTACCTGCTATTACTTTTTGTACATTTCAAAATTTCCAATCGCAAACTTGATTATTCAAATATTAAACAACTACTCTTGTACATGTCTCTCTGTGTGTATGGCAGGGTCAAGTACAATGCACAGACGCCTCTATGTGCCCAAGATACCAGCATTGATACAATAATATACCAGCATTGCTACGGGATACAGTAGGGATATGGTTCAGCCACATCCAGTCCTGTTACTTGGGAGTTCCTCAAGATTTTGAGTCCCCAGTTTACATAGTAATACTAATACATAACATTATCAAGGATGATGTGTATCTAATATTATAATACTTATAAATGATGTAATTTATGAGAACCTTGTCCCCTACCCATGTATTATAGAGGAAACTTGTCCTCAAATCATACAAAACATTATCAAGAATGATGTCTAATAGGATAACTGAACCTGTCCTGGAATTTGGGAAAAGCCAAGTCAGATTCCCACTTCCCATATTATGTGCCCCCATCCATATCCATGCATCATAGGGAATCAATGTATGCATGGTATTTGCTTTATGGTTTGCCATCTGGTGTTGATCTACGTTCATGTGACCCATCATTTTATTCTTCATCCACTCATTTGATTAACAGTGATCTGCAAATTTCTAAAACCAAGAATAAGGAACACAATCAAACAAGAAAACATTTAGAAGGCAACAAGGAAGAATAAATCCCAAGAGTGAGAGCTGGTTGACAGTGTATATATGTCAAAGGTATCCATTTTTTATCATTTAAGTAGTTGTACGGTGTAAGGAAATAGGTGCTTGCTTCTCTTAAGGAGCAGCCAAGTAACCCAACTCTCGCTGTGCTAGAGAAGACTTTGTCCACAAAGATTCTGAAGCTTGTGGATGCAGCCACGGTGCCAATTACAAACCACACCCAGCAACTGTGGTCCATTTGGGCAAATAAGGATCTTGAAATTTATACTATCTTCCACTCAATTACGATTTTCCACCAAGGGGACTAAAGAATTCAAAGTATTGGGGAGGGTGAGGCCAGTTCTAGGGCCCTTAGTCCCATTTGAGTTACCTCAAGGGACTTGGGGAATTTGGATGAAGACATTAAATCGAGCAATAGAATTTGAGTTAGTTGAGCAAAACTATACAAGGAAGAGTATGCTACAGCATCTCCTCTTGAAGAAATTTCAAGCAGTAGGGATTACTCGCTGGTAGGTCATATATGCAACACCCTGAAAAGAAATTCATGAAAATGGGAATTTTTCTCATCATATTTCTCAATTGTCTGCTTGAAGAAAATGCAAATTCTTATCATCTTTTAAAGAGGAAAAGGACTTGGGGAGAATAAAGGGCACTAGCAAAACAGGCTGCTACAAGGGAGCTGAAAAAGCTGCCTCAATCTGTAATTTTCGAGAACCTTGTCCCCTATGTTACCTAGAGACTAGAATGGGTGTCAGTTTTAGACACATGCCTAAGGTGTCTGACACAGCACCCAGCAAATTAGGAATGGGAAGATATGTCTGTGCAGTTATTTTTCTAAAATTATAAAACGCATGAAAAGGAGATGCAAACCTAGGACATGGTCAAAATTGTGTAGGAGAATAGGATTTGAACACAGGACATGGTGTAGCTGCCATCAAAATTACAATCAACGACCTAATGCCTAAGGGCCTGTTCAAACACAACACTTATTGCCAGTAACTGCCACAGTTTGACTCTGCCATTTGAAAGCAGCAAAAGCCAGAGTTTGGTCCACTCCTGCTATTTCACAATGAGGCCTTTTTCTAGGCTGATTTATGTAAACACCCACTACATATATGAACTACATATAAATGGGCCCTGGCCCTGGCCCTCCCTCCCTCAAAAAAAAAAAAAAAAGAAGATCATCTATCCATCCATCCATCTATCTATCTATCTATCATTCTATATAGGTCAAACAAATTCCCCCAAAAGCCTCAATCAAATATTTTTTACTAAAATGAATGGCCTGAATGGGATCTCCTCAAAAAATTAAAAAAATAAAACTATATATATATAGGGGAATGATCCTATGTATTTACAATACACAGGTTTAAGGTGATTTTCGCCCTCCACCGTTGGATTGCGCTCCAATCTCGTTATCAAAAGTCTCCCTCACCTGCTAACTCGTTCAACAAGTGACCTTGTTTATTTTCACTTTTACCTCTTATATTACTTTTGGGTTTTCCCTCTCTCTTCCTTCTCCCACTCTCTTTCTCTTCCGTCTCCCCCTCTTTCTCTCTTTCCACCTCCCTCTCTCTTCCTCCCCGTTGTAGAAACTCTCTCTTCCTTCTGTCTTCCGTCTCCCCCCTGTCTGTCTCTCTCTTTCCGCCTCCCTCTCTCTTCCCACCAAAGCTCTGTCAAAGTCAGCCATGCATTCTGGCTTGGCCAGCCATGCAAATAACCATATTGGTGCTCGTGCCCCCTCCATCAACAGCTTGAATACTGCTGTAGTTCTTAGTAACTACCTGAACATGCTTCGACAAACTCCATGAACTTAAACCACAGTCTACTTCGACGAGATGGTAATTCAGCTCCGTGCTCTTTCGGAAACCCATTCTCAGAACTCCCAAGGAAACCACCATTTCCAGCAGCAAGTGACTCATGAGCTCCTGGAGGAACAATAACAATGGTGGGGCATCACAACAATCTCGGAACAATAACCAGACCCCAAATGGAAATGCCACGATGAATAACGGGATCGGAGGCAGGGTAAGCTCCGGTATGATGGGTGATGGCATGGCCATGGGTAACAATGGAACCAACATGTCCAATATTATCATCGGCATGATGCGGAATCAAAGCAACACTTCCAAAGGCATAGCAAACAGTTCTTCTCGGGCAAGTGGTAAAAATGCCTTCAATTAAAGGTTGAGTATGCAGCACATGAAGGAGATGGTGCTGGACATTCCTCACGACTATACCGAAAATGGAATGCTCAATGGGGAACCAGGTGACATTGTTTGTTTTTTCTTTTTCCGATAAATAGGTGACATTGGTTTCAGATGGAAAAATTAGAAGACTTTTCCTTATTCGGTAGCAGAGCAAAATTAAATCTGATATGTTGTACAGAAGAAACTAGCACTAAGGTTTGATGATGATGTTTGTGCCTGCATGTAAAGCATTCATGCATGCATTGCATATTCATGGTATGGAGTGTACATGGCACGTTACATTGCCGGAACGATTGTGCTCTCTGATTCATGTTTTTGTTTTTTACAGTATTTAGCAGTTTTGAGGTTTTTGCCAGTTCTAGCTGTATCTTTCTATATGTTACAGTGATCAACTCCAGTAAAGTTTGTATTTCCAATGGCTGTTCTCATAAACAAAATCCCTCTCTCTCCTGGACTTAAATCTCTCTCTTGGACTTAAATCTCTCTCTCTCACACATATGTCTCTCATACCATTTCTCATTCCCTCTCTCATTTGGACCTAAAATCTCTCTCTCTGGTATGTTAACAGTGGGTGGGAATGGAGGGTGGAACGTCATGTTTTTCTATGTTTCTTCTGGACCTGATGTCTATCACTGATATGGCCAAGACT